ACAATCTACCACCCTAAGCCCCTGGAACCCTGAGACGCCTAAGAGAGGTTACAATCTGCAACCCTAAGCCCCTAAACCCTGGACCCTAGACCCTAAACCCTGAAACCCTGAAGCCCTTAAACCCTAACCCTAAACCCTAAACCCTAACCCTAAACCCTAACCCTAAACCCTAAACCCTAAACCCTAAACCCTAAACCCTAAACCCTAAACCCTAAACCCTAAACCTAAACCCTGAAACCCTGAAACCCCTAAGTGAGGTTACAATCTACAAGCCTCCGGCCTGAATCGTGGGCTTGCCACCATGGTGGCCTTTGGCGCCGCGGGGGCCAAGAATTAAGGGTTTAGGGTTTAGGGTTTAGAGGCATAGGGTTTAGGGTTTAGGGTTTCGGGTTTAGGGGTAGGGTTTAGGGTTTAGGGTTTAGCGTCTACAAGGTGTTCAGGGTACGGGGTTTGGGGGTTAGTGGTTTTGGATGTTTAGGGCTCTGCAGGGCTTAGGGCTTATATAGGGTTTGTATGGGCGTCTGGAAGGCTTACTGGGCTGTTTTAGACTTCGGTCCCCTCATCGTACCCGTAGATCCCCCAAGGTACATCCTGATATCCCCAACCAGTCAACCCTAGGACCTATAGGGTTTAGTGTTTCGAGTGTAGGGATTAATGAGGGTGAGGGATTGGGAGGGGGGAGAGGAAAGCCCCTAAGCAAACCATGTTCTTGTCGAGCTATGGGGGTTACGTCTCGGGCGCCCGCCGAACCAAAAGAAAACAAAAAAGGAAGGCCCTGAGACCCCAGATGCATGGCTGCCTAAAGCCAACAAAAGCCCCAAACCCTAAATCCCCTGAACCCCATAAACCCTATAAACCCTACAAACCCTATAAGCCCTATGCGCCCTATAAACCGCTACAAACCCTACAAAATCTAGAAACCCTAAATCCTATCAACCCTACACCAAGATCTGTGTCGAGGTTCCTTGGCTGCTTAGTGTACCCTTCTACACAGGCCTGGTCGTTGTGTTCTTGGGCTTCTTACCCAGTAGCCAAGCAAGAAGCCCCTAAGGCCTAAGCCCTAGACTCTAAACCTATACCTCAAAAGAATCCCGATGCCTCCAGTTTTTTGTGGGCGAGTTCTTCCGGCATCCCTTATCGGATTCTGGGAGAACTACAAGAACCCATCATTAAACCCTAAACTTAAACCCTTAACCCTCCACAACTGCACCCAAGACCGAACTCCGCTCTTACGCCTAACTTTAATCCTATATCAAACCGCAACATCAAACCCCCAAACCCCTTTCAAAGCCATCCACCTCCAGCCCTGAACCCATGGTTCTAGGGTTTGGGGTTCACGGTTTAGGGTTGAATGGTTTAAGGGTTTAAGGGTTTAAGGGTTTAAGGGTTTAAGGGTTTAAGGGTTTAAGGGTTTAAGGGTTTAAGGGTTTAAGGGTTTAAGGGTTTGAGGGTTTGAGGGTTTGAGGGTTTAAGGGTTTAAGGGTTTAAGGGTTTAAGGGTTCGGGGTTTCAGGGTTTTAGGGTTCACGGTTTAGGGTTTAAGGGTTCTGGGTTGGGGGGGGGGGGGGGGGTGCTTCGGAGAGGCCATGGTCTGGACGCCATTGCAGAGCCCCTGGGCTGAGAAAGCTCAACCCACCCCCCCCCCCCCACAAAAAAAAAAAATAAATAAATAATAAATAAATAGTAATAATAATAAAAGTTATACACACACACATATATATATATAAGAAAATAAAATAGAAAACAACAAACAAAACCTGGTTTAGAGTTCAGGGTTTAGGATTCAGCCTCGATTAAACCCTTAGCCTTTAAGGAATGTGAGGGAATCCCTAAACCCTAAACCCTAAACCCTAAGCCCTAAACCCTAAACCCTAAACCCTAAACCGAGGGAGGCCGGATGCCAAAAGGGGGACTACGCAGATACCCGATTCCTATCAAGAACCAGCAATTCAGACTGGACCCTTGGGTTTAGGGTTTAGGGTTTAGGGTTTAGGGTTTAGGGTTTAGGGTTTAGGGTGCTAACAGTCCTGAATAGGGATCCTAGTAGGGGGTACGATAATCCCTATTAAGGACTGCAAGTATAACGGGGAACATGCCAAGGTGTACTTTGGGATGTTCCCCTTACTAGCAGTCCTTACTCAATAGGGATTATAGTAGGGGGTACGGTTAAGGACTGTCAGCATCAGGAGGAACATCCCAAACTGGATCCCTAAGCTCTCATGAACTGGTAAACCCCGAGCCTCGAAACCCTGAACCGCAAACTGGATGAGCCGCCCCAGGCCTCAGTATGCAGGTGCTTACGGGGGAGTGGAGAAACCCTAAAACCCTAAACCCCACCCTTAAAGCCTTAAACCCTTAACCCCACCTTCAACCCTTAAAACCCTCTGAACCCTTAAAACCATTCAAAACCCTGCAAACCCTTAGAACTCTTCAAACACTTCAAACCCTTCAAACCATTCAAACCCTTAACATCCTTCAAACCTTCAAACCCTTAACACCCTGAACGCCCTTCAAACCCTTCAAACCCGTAAGCCCACCAGCAAGTTAACCCTAAAACCCTAAAACCCTAAAACCCTAAAACCCTAAAACCCTAAAACCCTAAAACCCTAAAACCCTAAAACCCTAAAACCCCAAAACCCTAAAACCCTAAAACCCTAAAACCCTAAAGCCCTAAAACCTTCAAACCCTAACACCCTGAATCCCTAAGCGTTAGCCGCCCCAGGGCCGGTGGATTGATCACCTCCTCCGTGATCAACTTTCTGGTTCCCTGCGCCTTTACCTTCTTAGGGTTCATATAGGGTTTGCCGGGTTTGCAGGGTTTAGGGTTTAGGGTGGTTTAGGGTTAGGGTTTAGGGTTTATGGGGTTTATGGGGTTTGCAGGGTCCAGGGTTTATGGTCAGTGTTTTAGGGTATCCGTCGGGGGTGGGGGGCCGGGAGGGGGGCAGGCGGGGGTGGTTGAAAGTTGAAGTCAAGAGTAGGGATTAAGGCTGAGGGTCGAACGACAAGGCATAGTTAAGGGCTTTAAGGTCTGTACGGCAGGCCTTGGACAAGACGGGTTTCTAGGTTTTGTTGGGTGTTGTTGCTTGAGCGTGGCTTCTTCAGTACCTTGGCCATGGGGCGCCCCGTACCCACAATGTATCAGATGGGATCCCATCGCAAACTCCTTCAAGAAACCTTCCAGACGAGGCGAAAATACCTTGAGCTAAACCCTAAACCCCAAACCCTAAACCCTAAACCCTAAACCCTAAACCCCAAACCCTAAACACAAAGTCCGCGCTCGGCTCGCCCCCCAGGTGTCGCAGCTGCACGTGCTTTCCTGGCAAGGAAACGCGAGAAGGTTTGTGAAGTTTAGCTAGGGCCCAGAGTAGGCCCCTGTACATTTGTTTTTTTGGGTTTGGGTTCCCTTGTTATTTCTAGGTTACGCCTGGGTCGAGTTAGCCTGAACCCTTGACCCTGCAACTGTTATCCCGTGAACACATTTGACTTTCAACTTATGGGGTCTGGGGTTTAGAGTTTAGGGTTTACGGTTGGGCATTTGCCCTTCTCAGGATTTACCGCGGGGCGTTGGGGTTTTGGTGAGGGGTTGGGATATGTTGGGATTTCGCTGGAATTGAAAGTTCATGGTTTCGATAGAAACGCCCCTACAAGCCAGAGTTCCCTTGAGAGATACACAGTACGCGCTTGCGCTTGAAGCATTGTGGTGGGTTCCCGAAAAAAAGGGTACCCACTCGGGGGTCCCTTTTAAGGGGATTCTATTCTATTTGGGGTATAAACAGTGTAGCCCTATTTTGGGAAATTCCTTGGTTATGGTGGTTCAGAAGTTCTGAGGGAAGTATGTTAAACGGCTAATGGGACCCTAAACCCTAAACCCTAAACCCTAAACCCTAAACCCTAAACCCTAAACCCTAAACCCTAAACCCTAAACCCTAAACCCTAAACCCTAAACCGCTGTAGAAGGGCTCCACAAGAACTTTCGCAGACCTGAGGGCCTGAGGGTCGTTCCGGCAGCTGCCCGCTGGGTTTGTGCTTGGAAATTTACAGGGTTTAGGGTTTAGGGTTTAGGGTTTAGGGTTTAGGGTTTAGGGTTTAGGGTTTAGGGTTTAGAGCTTGGAGGTCACGGGTACCTAGAAGTGGTGTTATCGGTAGGGTAGCTCTGGTTATGATCTTTTTTTGGGTACTTACAATCCTACTTTTAAGTACACATGAGAACCCTCGAGCGGGGCTTGAGCTTTTGTTAGGCCCTGCAGGCTGTTGTGAAGTCCGGCGTCTGCTTGGGCCCTGCAAGTTTAGAGAGTTCGTTTGGCTTCGAGGCCCTCTTTGGGGTATGCGGGACTTAGCTTGTCACCTTGGACAAGCTTCCCGCCCGGGAAGAGGCTTCGATGCTGTTTGGGCGGAGCGGTAGAAAGACAAAAAGGAGCCGTGCTAGTGCAGCACAAGCATCACAAGCTGAGCGGTAAGCAGGAAGAAAGGGAGCCGCGCCAGCAGTGCAGCACAAGCATTCGAAGCTAGTCACGCAAGATTTGCATTGGTTCATGTCAGCCTAAAGCTATTAACCCTAACCCCTAAACCCCCTCGGTCCAAAGCTATTAACCCTAACCCTTGTAAACCCCCTCGGTCCAAGATTCTTCTTGCGGAGGTTCACAGGTGAACTTAGGCAGACTTGGAGCGCTTAAGGAACGAACAACGTTGTAAGCTCTTACCACGAAACCCTCAATTTCAGACCACGATGGAGAACCCTACCATGAAGAGCACATGAAAATAGAACAAACAGAGATTGGGGAAAAAACGCCCTAAACCCCAAACCCTAGATCCCTGTATCAGGGGTTTCCCCTCGACCGGCATAGATTTGAGGTCTAGTGGTCTATGGTCGCGTAAAAATTTTGAGGCCCTTGAACACACTTCCCTCCAGCCCTAGCCTTGAATTCTTGCGGGTTTTAGGGTTTAGGGTTTAGGGTTGTCAAAACAGGAAAAAAAGAGGTTTCGCTGGGCCGGTCGCGAGCCATGCCCGTTCAGTTGCAGCCCCCTTCCGCGGATTCCCCGCCCTTTCCCGCCCTGCAGGCAGTGCCCCCTCGGCCGCATGAAGCTGCTACAGGGCCATAGGGTTATGGGGTTATAGGGTTTAGGGTTTAGGGTTGGGTTTCGCTCAGTAGCTGTTCTGCCCAAACAAAAACGGCTTGACATAGAGCTTTATAGGGTTCCAGGGTTTTCGCGCGTTCCTTCAGAGTTTCTGCAGAGGGGCATACAGGCAGATTTTTGAGTTTTGGGGCCTGGGGTGCACAATTCCGAGCACGGACTGCTGCGAGTCAACGTAAAGCAGAGGGGCGCGGTAGTCGTATTTGCTACGGCTGGTCAGTAGGGAATTTGGGGAATGTAGCGATAGTTGCCCTCGTAAACCCCCATGTCTGCCGTGTCTTTGCACGTCCATGGCTCACCTTGTGCTCGCAACCCTAACCCCCTAAACCCTAAACCCTAAATCCTAAACCCCAAACCTCAAATCCTGAACCCTAAACCCTTTATCCTAAACCCTAAACCCCAAACCCCAAACCTCAAATCCTGAACCCGAAGCCCCCTCCGTGTGCCTCCCAGGCCCTTCGTCCCGGCTGCGGGCTTCCGCAAGCCACGGCAGCGGAAGCCATCTGCTCTTGGCCAGCAGCGGGTTTAGGGCCCGTAAACTCTGTCCAGGGTTTAGGGTTTAGGGTTTAGGGTTTAGGGTTTAGGGTTTAGGGTTTAGGGTTTAGGGACAAAACCGAGCAATCCTTGTAGTGGAAGCGAGAGCAGCTGCTCTCAAGTCCTTCCGGTGCTCCACGAGGTGATCGCCCATGCCCTCAGCGGCACGATCGGCTCAGTGCTGGCTGAGGCGCTGAGCTCTTGGAAGGGCTTTCGCCGTAAGGCTGAATCCTACACACAGTATCCCTTCTTCATGCCTTCTGAACCAGATTTCTGCAACAAGCTGCCCGAAGAGCTCCCTTGAACCCGAAAAACCCCTAGCCGACATACGTGTATAGGGCGTGTAGGGTTGGGATGGGTATGCCATACTAAGGCACCATGTATCTACCCTAAAACTAAAACCCTAAATCCCGGGCCCCAAACCCCAAAGCCTAAGAGGTTTGCACACAGCATTCCCTCTTCAGTTGCCTCGTGGAGCATGGCTAGACAGGTGGCAACACCCTAAACCCTAAACCCTAAACCCTAAACCCTAAACCCTAAACCCTAAACCCTAAACCCTAAGAGGATGGCCTGGGGGTGTGGGGCAGACTATGGGGAAAAGAAGGCTACGCTCGTTGCACGCCCTCAATGTCAACCTCAAGTCCAGGGTGTTTCGGGATTGTTTCAGTCAAGTTCAGGGGTTCAGGGTTCAGGGTTTAGGGTTTAGGGTTTAGGGCTAGGGTTTAGGGTTTAGGGTTTAGGGTTTAGGGTTTAGGGTTTAGGGTTTAGGGTTCAGGGTTCAGGGTTTAGGGTTTTGGGTTTTAGGGTTTAGGGCGACGCCCCCCCTCAACCCCCGAAAAGCCCCTCAACTCAGTCACATCTCCAAGCTGTGAGGCGATCCTGTTTCCGGTGGACACGATCAAGCTGAAAGTGCAGACGGTGGCTGGGACGCACGGGGCTGTTTGGGCGAATTAGGGTTTAGGGTTAGGGTTTAGGGTTTAGGGTTTAGGGTTTAGGGTTTAGGGTTTAGGGTTTAGGGTTTAGGGTTTGGGGTTTGGGGTTTAGGGTTTAGGGTTTAGGGCTTCTACCTGGAGGTTCAGGGTACTGGGAACCCCAATTGTTCTGGGGGTATAACCCTAAACCCTGAACTAGGGTACCCCATGAAACTCCAAGTCTCAATCTGAGTAGGGAACTACCCTAAATGCTGCTAGCCTTCCCTGTTTGAAGCCCTAAGCCCTAAACCCTAAACCCTAAACTTTGTGCGCTTCATCAAAACCCTTACCAGAGCAAGGCACTTCTTTTTCGCGAGCGGCGAGACGCGGTGCCGCACACAACGGCGGGGCTAGGCTAAGCAATGTTACAAATGGCCCTTGCGCCAAAGCCACGTGCCCTATATGGGGCGGGCGGGCGGGACAACAGCTGTGAACTCCAGTCAACAGCCCTCACCCACCCTCCACTGAGGTTGCTGCATGCGCACGCAATGAGGCAAAGAGGTTTTGTTGCCTCACCCGGGCCCAAATGGCACTGGTAGGCAAGCCTACAAGAGATCCCTCAACCCTAAACCCTGAACCCTAAACCCTAAACCCTGAACCCTGAACCCTAAACCCTAAGGCCACGGCCAACGATCCCCGCGGCTTTCTGGCCATGCTCTTCGGGCTCCTGGGTGAGGCGGATGCGCTGCCAAGGGAAAGGGGGGGGGGGGGTTGAGGGATTTAGGGTTCAGGGTTAGGGTTAAGGGTTTAGGATGTAGGGTTTAGGGTTAAGGTCTAGGGCTTAGGGTTTAGGTTTTCAGGGCAATCATGGATTCGCAAGGCTTTCAGTCGTAGCCACGAGTGCTAGGGCCTGAGGGTGTTGCTGAGACTTTCAGGCCAGGACATCACAGCCCGGATACAGAAAGGGTTCAGGGCAAGCTCTGAAGCAGAGAGCAGAGATGGTGCAAGGTGAAGGTAGAGAGGGAGAGAGGGTTCGGGAGAAAGAAGTCATGTGTGATTTATTTATATACATACGTACTTGCAGGCTGAACTTCCCAAGTCCTAGAAGCCTTAAACTTCCTCAGTCCTACATATACCCTAAGCTTCTTCAACCCTAAGCTCAAAGCTTCCTAAACCCTAAGCGTTAAACTTCCTGAGCCATCAACCTTCTGGCTGGTTCTGTGTCGGGAATGAGGGCATGACGGCCCTATATATACCCTTTAAGGGATTGTAAAAGGTACCTCATTCCCTCATTCCCTCATTCCCTCATTCCCTTCTAAGATCCAGGGGGCCTTGAATCAGGCTGGTTTTCGGGGCCTCTATCGCGGGATTGGCGCGGCCTTGATCAAGGCTGGGGAAGGGAGGGGGGGGGGGGGGGGGGTGGCATTCGGTGACTTGGAGATTTTGGGCTTAGGGCGTTTAGGGCTTGGGGCTTTTGTGTGGGGTTAGGGCATAAGCCACAAGTTGCAAGCCAGTTGGTTGAGCACCTCTCTTTCACCGACATGCCAAAGAAACGTGCGCAAAGCTTGATGTGCCCTAGGGTTTAGGGTTTAGGGTTTAGGGTTTAGGGTTTAGGGTTTAGGGTTTAGGGTTTAGGGTTTAGGGTTTAGGGTCCCTAAACCCTAAACCCTAAACCCTAAACCCTAAACCCTAAACCCTAAACCCTAAACCCTAAACCCTAGGGTTCAAGGGTTTGTATGCCTTTTTGGGGTCCAAGGGTAGTTTCCATGGCCCCTTAGTATGGTCTCTTACCTTCTTTAAACGCCCAGAAGTTTGGAGCTCTAGGGTTTACAGGTTTTGGGGTTCGTGGTGCTTGATGACCCTAAACCCTAAACCCTTAGCTCTAAACCCAAAACCCCAAAAACTTCCGAACTATGCCCTGAACCTGACAGTCTTTAGAACTCGAAGCCCTGAGCCTTGAATACCAGAATGATTGGAGTTTCGTGGGCACGTTTCAGTGCCGTTCTAAGTGCCCCTGAGAGCTGTGAACTGCTTCCAGTCCTTCTTCGCCCTAACCCTAAACCCTAGACCCTTGACCCTAAACCCTAAGCCCTAAGCCCCAAGCCCTAAGCCCTAAGCCCTAAGCCCTAAGCGTAGCTACCCATGAACCCTGCTCGTCGACCCATCCCCCCACCAAAGCCTGATCTTCAAGGCTTCGGGTTTTAGGGATTCAAGGAGTCCATCCACAGCCTCAACTACTGGATCTTCCATGGAAGCCTCTTCCGGCTCTTCACGGAGTTCGAGGACGAACTCATCGAGCCCTAAACCCTAAACCCTAAACCCTAAACCCTAAACCCTAGGGGTGTAGGGCCACAGAACTACAGGATACCTCCGCTACATCTCCGATGAGGCGGCTCGTGCTCAACCTCGTTCCTGGGCTTTGTTTGGGGTTTAGGGTTTAGGGTTTAGGTTTTAGGGTTTAGAGGGTTTAGGGGGTTTAGGGGGTTTAGGGGGTTTAGGGGGTTTAGGGGGTTTAGGGCTTAGGACTTAGGACTTTGGGCAGGCGAGGACTTCTGCAAGCCTGCAGCAAACAAGGGTTTAGGGATTAGGGTTGAGGTTTTTAGCGCTTCCAGAACTTCGTTCTCGGGTCTTCACACAGGGGTTCGGACAGCTGAGCTATCCAACAAACTACAGCAACCCTAAACCCTGAACCCTAGACCCTAAGCTGGGCCTTGTGTGCCAGGGTCTTTGGGAGCTGCAGCTTGCTTTTGAGAGTTTGGGGGTACCTGTGGGGTAAGAGTTGGAACCCTACTTGAAGGTTCATGGGTACTTTTAACCCCAATTTCCGGGTTTAGGGTTTAGGGTTTAGGGTTTACGGTTTAGTAGGGTTTTGGGTTTAGGGTACTTGTAACCCCAATGAGGGGTTTACTTATAATAACCTGCTATAAGAATTAGGGGCCTTATCAGTACAGTTGCAACTGGGGGGTTAGAAGTTCCATGAACCTCCAAGCAGACGCTAACCTTAGGGGTTCTACATTGCAGTGGCCTGCGCAAAAGAATGCCCGGGCTCATTTGCACCTCAGAACCACGAAGTCAACTCAAAGGATCCGAAACTCCAAGCTCCATCCCTAGATGGATTTAGGGCTTAGGGTTTAGGGTTTAGGGTTGAGGGTTTTGGGTCTTTGGGTCTTTGGGTCTTTGGGTTTTTGGGTCTTTGGGTCTTTGGGTCTTTGGGGTATTCCCAACCCTCGACCGTACCCCGCCACAACCAGGACAACTCGTGGCCTGTAGCGTGGAAGTACCCGAATTTTACGGAAATTGGTAACCCTAAACCCTAAACCCTAAACCCTAAACCCCAAACCCCAAACCCCAAACCCCAAACCCTAATCGCAATGGTCAGCCAAGGTGTCGAAGCAGCTGCACCTCGACATTGAAGACCAGGGTTGCCATGCAAGCCCCCCCCCCCCCCCCCCCCACTTCGGCTCATCGAGTTTAGGGTTTCGGGGTTTGGGGTTTAGGGTTTGGGGTTTAGGGTTTAGGGTTTAGGGTTTAGGGTTTAGGGTTCAAGGTTTAGGGTTTCGGGTTTAGGGTTTAGGGTTTAGGGCAGACGCAACACCCACCCGTGCCGCTGAAAGGCAGCTTTCTTTGTGCGAAGCCTCCTCTTCTACACTTACCCTAAGCCTTAAACCCGAAGCCTGAAACCCTAAACCCAAAACCCTAAATCCTAAACCCTTGAAGGAAGTCATGCCCTGATTTGGGGGTATGTGGGCAAAGCCTGCTGTAAGCCTTTGATCCCTTCTAAACACTAAACCCTAAACTCTTTCTTGAGGGTTAAAGGGGCCAAGCCCTAGCCCTAAACCCTAAACCCGAAACCCTAAACCCTAAACCCTAAACCCTTGATCCTAAGACCAAAGCCCTAAGCGCCGTTTGAGCCCAGGAATTGGCTGTGCACCGTGCCCTTCGAGGCTTCCTTGGGGTGTAAGGTTGACGGTTCCCTAAACCCTAAACCCTAAACCCTAAACCCTAAACCCTAAACCCTAGGCCCTAAACCCTAAACCCTAAGTTCCGGATTCAATGTCGTAACTACGGAACCTGGGAGAGATAAGGAATTCGAGGGTTTCAGGTCTTATGCTTGAGGATTTACGGTTTAGGGTTTGGGGTTTTGGGTTTGGGGCATGTGCTCCAGAAAAGACTCGGGCTTGCACAACGCAACATCGAAATTTGGAGGTTTGGGGTTTAGGGGCTTAGTTGATTCGCCCCCAGCAGCTCAGATGCAACACAGGGTTTCGCAGGGTTTGAGGCTACATGGGCGGCGGCAGATAGCCCACTCGCATGCCTTTGCGCAATCCAGCAGGAGTTGGCATGTGCCTAGGCATATTAAAATCAGCAATGCAGGTCTGGATGGCTACCATGCAGCATCATGTAAGCTTAAAGGTTCTGCCAACAAAAACGATGTTGCTGCGTCACTGCTGGGAGCTGCCTGTGAAGACCTAGGCCCCCTAAACCCCAAGCCCCAAATCCCAAACCCTAAACCCCAAACCCTAAACCCTAAACCCTAAACCCCAAACCCTAAACCCTAAACCCCAAACCCTAAACCCTAAACCCCCTAAGCCATAAAACCCGAGAACCTGCCGTGAGGTCATCTCAAGCGTGAACCAAATGTCCGCGAGCGCCCCAGGGTTCGCTGCAACCGCCGCCGCCCTGTACCAGGCGGACTCGGCCCCTTCAAGGGTTTTGGGTCTATAGGGTTTAGGGTTTAGGGTTTCGGGTTGAACCATTATTCGGCTTGCGGTTCTGAGGACTCGGGCGACCTTCGAGCAAGGTTAGGATGTTTAAGAGCTGGGGAAAGTCTTTGGAGTCAGAATCTGGGTAGTTTAGTGGTGTCCTCTACCCTTTTGCTGGTCATGGGTTCCCTTATAAAGTAACCAACCGCAAAAAGGGGTGCCCGTATTGTAAGATGGTTACTGGGCTACCAAGGAATGCAGGCGGGAGTTCTTGGAGGGAATAAGAAGATTTCAATTGTGTTCCGCTCACAGTTATCATCTTTTCGGGCATATTTAAGTCTGCTGGCACACCCTACCCTCAGCCCCTAAACCCTAAACCCTAAACCCGAAACCTGCGCTGTTGAGGAGGGTGGTTTGGGGGCCTTCTACCGCGGGCTCACTGTCTCACTCATCCTCGCGATCAACCCGGCCATCATGACACTTGGTTTTACGAGCTGATGCGCTGGGGATGCAAGAGGTGGTGTGGTTTCGAGCACCCTGCGAGAGGGCACAAGTCAGAAGTTCAGTTCAGGCTGTAGGAAACCTCAGTCCAAGACTGCACACAGCTTGAATCTGAACCCATGAGAGAGGATTTCACTTGGAGTAGCTTTTTGGGTTTCCTTATTTCGTGTGAATATTAGTATTAAAGTTTAACCTTTTTTCCCCTTGATTCTTGGAGAAGTAAGATTTGCGGGGCCCCGAGCTGAATGGATCAGTTCAGCCTCCTGAGGGCTTGTGGCTGGAGGTTCATGCAAGGCCGGAGACCACAGGTTTCTTGGTAGCCCGGTGGTACCCTTTACCCTTTCTTTGGCTAGGGGTTCCTCTATTACATACCCAACCCAAAACAGGGTGCCCCTACCATAAGATGGTTGCTGGGACACCAAGGTTTAGGATTTAGGGTTTACGCTTGGAGTTCAATCGATTCCGAGATGATTGCAGGGGAAGCGCCAACTGAAGCCCCATGGGCTCTGTTGAAGCAGCTCACCCCGGCTCACCCCCCTCTGAACATTTTCCCGCAGGGCCAGCGTGTTCCTCAGGTCCTCAAACCTAACCCCCCGAATTTAGGTTTAGGGGCTGGGTCGCCTAATCCTTTAGACCCGAAGCTACTGGGAGGTTCATGGGTACTTATAACCCCAATTCTAAGTCTTCTCGTCACCTGCGTAGAGGACTAAGGGGCCTTATCAGTACAGCTACAACTGACTCCAAGTAGAAGCCCTAAACCCTAAACCCTTAGACCCGGTTTAGGGTTTAGGGTTGAGGGTTTGGGGTTTAGGGTTCAGGGTGGATCTGCCCAGGAACACGCTGATCACCTCGATGCTGCGTCTGCGGGCTTTGTTTCTCGGTCTCCGGACCACTACACATTTAGGGTCCCTAAACCCTAAACCCTAAACCCTAAACCCTAAACCCTAAACCCTAAACTCTAGAGCTGTGCGGTTCTTGTGTTTCGGAGTTCGGTTCCCGTCGCAGTCCCATCGAGCACAACAGGGTCCCATGTTTTTTATTCCTAGGTTGCTGCGGCCCCTTCACATGCCGAACCCCTAAACCCTAAACCCTAAACTTTGGCCCTGAACCCTAAACCCTAAACCCTACAGACCCTTATAGATCCTATAGATCCCGTAGACCCTAAACCCTAGAAAAGCCTTGGGTTCAGGGACCAGGCTCAAGGGAGCCCTAGGTGGATGGGATGTTTGGTTGATGGCGTTTCCTTCCGGGTGGTAGGACGCTCAGGTTTGGGGGCGGATGCCACGGGTGTAGGGTTTCGGGTTTCGGGTAGCGCGTGGCTCGCGCCGACGAAGCGTGGTAGTTGCATGCAGGGACATTCCTGCTTCCCATGGCCAATGTTGGTTGCCCCAGTTGGGAGCATCACCAAACTGAAACCACCAGCCGAACAACAAACAGAACCCGAGTTCATGAACCCAAGCCGGGAGGCTACTCCAGTATTTGGGTGCCGACTACGCAGAGGTGGCCGAGTTTTCGATTTTCTGCGGGGTTTTGTCTAGAGTTTGTGGGGAGCGGGGGAGGGTTCCGACTGATGAAGGGTAGTAGGAGTAATGAGTGACCTGCGTACGGGTTCTGTGTGGGATATGTCGGAATTGAAAAAGCGACCTAGAAATCTCTTGGGGGTGTCTCGTGATTCCTTCCCCTCCTTCAATCTCTTGCTAGCTCAGTGGTGCCCTTTACCTTCTTGTTTTTGGTTTATGGGTTCCCTTGTGGAGTAATTACCCAACCCAACACAGGGTACCATGATGTTAATCTGGTCCATGCTCGGACCCCTTCACAAACACCACAAAGCCTGCAATAGCACGAACCCATTGAAAAGCCTTGATCAGCCCAGAACACGTTTACCTGCTTGTACGAGTAGTTCACTAAAGCATGGACCCTTTCTGGATCCCTATATAGCACAGCACCTTGTAGAAAGGAGCCCCCCCCCAAAACCTTAAGCCCTGAACCTTAAACCCTAAACCCTGAACCCTATATCAACCCTGAGCCCTAAGCCCTAAGCCCTAAGCCCTAAACCCTAACCCTAAACCCTAAACCCTGACCCCAAGTTTAGTGAACTGCGCACATCTCCCTCCCAGCCCAGCAATGCAAGCCCCAGTCCCAGGCGCGCGAGCACAGCGCCGCTGCGCTGGGAGCGGTCACGGCCATGTCGAAGCGCCTCGTTTAGGGTTTAGGGTTTATAGTGCAGAGCCTGGGTTCAAAAAAAAAGGGTTTAGGGGTTAGGATTTAGGGTTTGCTGTGATAGGGCGTAGATGCTGTGAAGGTTAATTAGGTTTAGGAACAAGCTCGAAAGCTTCGTGAGGTGCGAAGAGCAGCTTTGGCCCGATTGTGGAGGGCCATCTAACACTTTTTTCCCAGCCCACGCCGTCCGAGGCGGCAAAGCCACCCAAACCTATTCCTTTTGGGGTTTAGGCCTAAACTCAAGGCAACAGTCCATTTCTAAAAACTTTTTCGGTTTCATGACGTTCGGGGTTGGGTCCGAGAGTCAGGAATGGTAGGGGGTCGGGGGGGGGTCAGGCGGTTTCAGGGGGTTCTGCTTCGAATTTGACGTGGTTTCGAGAAGGTGCAGGGGTGCCAGGAAGTCCCACGTCCCTCCAGGGCCGGGGTTTTAGCACAAACAAACTGGCCCGCGGCGCGGGCTCCAGGACCCCTGAACTGGGGCCCTGGGGGTACTCCCCCTGAAAATGCCGGCGCTTTCCGGAACAGGTCGAAAGGCTTAGGCGCCGCCCCCAACTTGGGCCCTGAGTCTGGGGTTTAGGGTTTTAGGTTTCAGGGTTCGAAGAGGCGTGGATAGGGTTTAGGGTCTTCGGGTTTTTAGGGTTTTGGGTTTAGGCTGATGTTGGGGTTCTGTTTAACTACATGTACAAGGTGCTGCTAGCCGGGCGTGGGGGTTAGGAACGATTAGGAACGTGCACGACTGGTTCTCATGTCCATTCGATGCAGATGCGGCCACTCGCGATTTCCCAAGTCAGGGGTGCATGTGGAGGTTGTCTCGGGGTTGTTGTTGGGACCCGCTCCTTCCTAAACCCTCCAGCACCAGAAACCTCCTTGGACGAAGCCAGGTAGGCACAGCCCCCCAGCCCTAAAGTTTTTATTGCCTCAAGAATAACCCAAGAGACCTTAAGAAACCCTTTAATCAAGAGATTCAGACTCGCACCCCTAACGTTGTACCCCTTAAGGTTTCCCTTGATATACTCCCGATAAGACCCTTATATTGCCTTAGGGACCTTCAAGCAGGGTCCCCAAAACCCAAGGGTACAACCTCAAGAGTCCAGGGTACAGCCCCTAGACTTGAAGCAAGAAGCTTGGGATGTTCCCCCTTATACTAGCAGCCCTTAATAGGGATTATAGTAACCCCCTATTACAATCCCTATGCCTATGACTGTTCGTATAAGGGGGAACATCCCAACAAGAAGCCCTAAATGTCCCCTCCCTAAACGCAAAGCACGCAAACTCCACAAACAAAGCGGCCTTGACAGTCTACCATGTGTGCAGGACCACCTCAAAGACCCTTTCGTGGTTTACAAGGCTCAGTAGTGCTTACTTGGCAGGGTTTAGGGTTTAGCGTTTAGGGTTTAGGCTTCAGACGAGCTCAGCCCCAAAGCAAGCAAAGCCTTAGCCCACGGCCAAGGATGGTCGCAACGGTCCTTACCTACCCGCTCATCCGCGCCAAGGCCGACCTTTGCAGCTTTCATGGCTTTAGGAAGTTTAGGGTATGAGGGTCTTGGGGTATTAGGGTTTAGAGTTTAGGTTTTAGGGTTTAGGGGTCTTAGGGCATTAGGTTTTTCGCAACTGCCCCCTGAAGAGTCTGAACATTGCACCCAAACATTTCGCATATGTTCGCCTTGAGCTTGAGACGGTTTAGGGTTTGTGGGGTACGGGGCTTAGGATTTGTGAGAGGGGGGGGGGAGGTCGTCATCAAGGTTTCGTGGACAATGTCTGTCCAAGTGCTATATATTACATACTTGGGCCGCAAACGGGTTTCTATATAGTAGCTGTAGGGACCAAGTTTATGCTGAAAACCCTACACCTCCTATATATATATATATATACATACACATACTACAGCACATAGACATAGACTGTATAGGTACATGCTAGGGGCAAGCCTTCAACCCGACCTAGGACTCAACCCGATTAATCCTGCACTCCAAACGCCGACCGCGAAAGGGGTTTCAGGTTCAGGGTTTAGGGTTTATATAAGGTTTAAATTTAGGGTTTGGGGTTTTGGGTTTGGAGCCCTCAGAAGCCTGTTGCAAAAGGGTTTAGCTGTGAAAGGTTCTGCAGCAGACGGCCGCGTCGGTCTACTCGGGACAGGCCACCTTTCCGGAGATGGGCAGTTGTCCTTTTATTGGAAGGAAGCTTCATGCTACACATGGGAACCCCAGAAGGAGCTATGAACTTACAAGAGTCCCGCCAGACGACTGACCAGCTTCCTCGGTGGTACCCTTTCTTCGTTTTATGGCCAGGTGCCCCTTGTCAACCTTAAACCCTAAACCCCAAACCCTAAAATTTAAACCCTCTGCTGAAACAGGGAGTTAAGGGGCTTGAGGCCGTGGTTGTTGGGCTTGATGTGGACCCAGGCCTTCCCTTCAGTGATGAGGCAGGTCCTGGTCACTGCTGCTGGGCCCGAGTCGTGCAGGGTTTAGGGTTTAGGGTTTAGGGTTTAGGGTTTAGGGTTTAGGGTTTAGGGTTTAGGGTTTAGGGTTTAGGGTTTAGGGTTTAGGGTTTAGGGTTTAGGGTTCAGAGTTTAGGGTTTCGGGTTTCGGGGTTTGCGGTTTCGGGATAGGAGTTTGGGGCTCGAGGGCGTTCAGAGTGTAGAGCTTGAGTTCTTTTTGTCGGTTGACGAGGTTGAAGTGTGTGCTTCCCAAACAGGATGGGGAAGGCGCGTTTCGAGTTCAGAACCCTGAAGAACTAAACCCTAAACCCTAGACCCTAAACCCTAAACCCTGAACCCTAAACCCTAAACCCTAAACCCTAACCCTAGACCCTGAACCCTAAACTCTATAACTTCAACTCACTAAACCACTTCTCAACCTGCAGCCAAGGAAGGCATAGGCGGTCTTTATCGCGGCATGCTGGCGATGAGCTACAAGAAGCTCGCAGAGCAAAGGGTTTAGGGTTTGGGGTTTAGGGTAACCCTACCCTCAAACGCTAGACGCTCAAAAACCCAACACACAAAAAATCACAAGCCCCTTAGGACCCTAAACCCTAAACCCTAAACCCTAAACCCTAAACCCTAAACCCTAAACCCTAAACCCTAAACCCTAAACCCTAAACCCTAAACCCTAAACCCTAAACCCTAACCCTAAACCCTTAACCCTAAAAATCAAGAACACAAAGCACACCACAAGCTCCTTAGGACCGTGCTCTGGAACTCCCTGATGATGGCTTTCAAGCATCTTCTGGGTCCGAAGCGGGCGATGACGCCTCCGGAGCACCCTCTCGAAAGTCAGTTTAGGGGGGGGTTCACGAAAATGGGGTTTAGGGTTTAGGGTTTAGGGTTTAGGGTTTAGGGTTTAGGGTTTAGGGTTTAGGGTTTAGGGGATCCTCGCTCACAGGCAAGCTACCACAGGAGCCCTGAAGCAAAAAAGGGGATCCCCTGATAAGAACTACCTTCTTGCCTAGTTTGGGAAACCTCCATTTTTTGGCTTTGTTCATTTTGGGGGGCTAACTTTAGGACTTATGGGGTTTCAGGGTTTAGGGTTTCTTCTGACGAGGTGAGATCCTTCAGAAGCCTGCTGCGAAAGGGTTTCTTCTTATATGTTTTTCCGTTGTGGGGATTAGGGTTGACGGCTTCTTCTTACGTCTTTTTTTCCTCCGGGGGCAGCTTCAGGGACTTGAGGGTTTTTTGGGGCCCGTCAGGGGCTTTAGTTCGTTTGTTTTAGGGTTTAGGGTTTAGGGTTTAGGGTTTAGGGTTTAGGGTTTAGGGTTTAGGGTTTAGGGGGTTTTTTCTGGGCCGTCAGCGGCTTCCACAAGGACGGGTGGCCAAAAACTGGCAAAAGAGGGGCCGGCTCGGCCAGGATGCAAGGGGCCCTAAACCCTAAACCCTAAACCCTAAACCCTAAACCCTAAACCCTAAACCCTAAACCCTAAACCCAAGGGAGAGAAGAAGTTTGAGGGTTCGCCATGGGCACTGGCCTTCTGGGTTTAGAGCTTGAGGCTCAGGGTTTAGAGTTTGAGGTTTAGGGTTTAGGGTTCAGGGTTTAGGGTTTAGGGTTCAGGGTTTAGGGTTTAGGGTTTAGGGTTTAGGGTTTAGGGTTTGGGGTTTAGGGTTTAGGGTTTCGGGGGCCATCGCAAGCCCTCAAAGCAGCTGGCGGTGGCAAGGTCACCCAAGCTCATGCACATGCCGCATGTTGCGCGGGAGCCCTTCCCAGCAGAGCACCTTGACCGCAGTTCTGACAGCCCCAGTTTAGAGGGCTTATAGAAGGTTAGAGGTTAGAGTTTAGGGTTTAGGGTTTAGAGGGCTTATAGAAGGTTAGAGTTTAGGGTTTAGGGTTTAGAGGGCTTACAGAAGTTTAAGGTTTAGGGTTTAGGATTTAGAACGCTTTCAAAAAGGTTTAGGGCGATGCTTCGTTAAGGAGAGCAAAGCCCGCATGCCCTGCATCCTTACATTGGATTGCTGCTAAGGCACCAGAGCTCAAAGCCAAACCCCAGCCCATCCAACAACTGAGCACCCTTTTGTTGGGATCGTTAGGGTTAATAAGTTGAGGCGTTGAGGGTCCTTGATTGTTCTGAGTCAGAGCCGCGCTTGTCACAAGGGGAGCCTGAACAACTAGAACAGGGTTTGGAGGGGTGCATTACAGCATTTAAAGGGGTAAGGAATATCATTCGTAATCATAACCCTAAACCCTAAACCCTAAACCCTAAACATTCCGACCCCTGTATGATACGAACCTCCAATTTGTCAAGAACCCCAACCTTGCCTTGGGGACGAACCCTGAAATTTGGGTCATACTAAGTTCTGAACCTCCCTAATCCCCAAACCCTAAACGCTAAACCCTAAACCCTAAACCCTAAACCCTAAACCCTAAACCCTAAACCCTAAACCCTAAACCCTAAACCCTAAACCCTAAACCCTAAACCCTAAACCCAAAACCCTAAACCCTAAACCCTAAACCCTCTAACCCTAAACCCTAAACCCTAAACCCTAAACCCTAAACCCTAAACCCTAAACCCTAAACCCTAACCCTAAGCCCTAAACCCTAAACCCTAAACCCTAAACCCTAAACCCTATACCCTAAACCCTAAACCCTAAACCCTAAACCCTAAACCCTAAACCCTAAACCCTAAACCCTAAACCCTAAACCTCAACAAGGTACACACAAGAGAAGTTGGATGAGATATTGGAGTATCTCCGTCGCGTGGGCAGCAGCCGCAAGAAGGCCCGGCCGGGTCTGACAATCCCTAGAACTGCGGTTCGGGGTTTAGGGTTTGGGGTTTAGGGTTTAGGGTTTGGGGTTTAGGGCTTGGGGTTTAGGATTTAGGGTGAGGGACTTGGGGTTTAGGGTTGAGGGCTAAGGGCTTAGGGTTTCGCGGGGGTCTTTGATTTGACCAGCTCATGCGCAGCAGCTGCCAAGCCCCCGAACAAAGTTGTGCAATGTGTTGCTTTGCTCTTCGACCAGACACCCCCGGAAGTCAGCAACCCAGGGGGCTATAAACCAAAGAACCTATGAACCCTAAACCATCCTAAGCCCGATACACCCAAGAGTCCAAGAGAAGCCTGATAAATTCCCAAAAGCCCTATAGACTTATAGCTATGGACCCTGAACCGCTTTAAACCCCATCAACTCTTTATAACCCCCTACAAAGCGTGCAAACCCCATACGCCCTTTACCAATGGTCCCCATGACGAAAAAAAGTTTTCTGGGATATTTTTATCTGTTCCCGATGAGGATCCTTTTAAGGAACGTTTTTCAGAGGGTTTAGGATTTAGGGTTTTGGGGTTTAGGATTTAGGGTTTTCCCAAAGACCAAAAAAGTCCCTCAGGTTGCGGAGCTCCCTAAACCCGAAACCCTAAACCCTAATCCCTAATCCCTAAGTCCCCTGAGGTTGAGGAGCTGGAAAACCGGATGGACCAGGTCATCGTGGAGCTGAAGGAGGTGCGGACGCCGCTTGGAACTGGTTTTATTCGAGATCGCCCTTCGGGGTGTTTAGGGTTGCAAGGGTTGCAAGGGTTGCAAGGGTTTGCAAGAATTGCAAGGGTTTAGGGTGTAGGATTGAAGGTTTATGGTTTAGGGGCTCAGGGGTTCAGGGTATTCGGCCTCCCAGCGTTTCTTCCCGAACTGCCAGGGCCTGCCAGGGTTAGCCGAGCATCAGGAGCATCATCTGGGAAGTGGCCTCCGTGAACGGGCAGGGCCAGCGAGCATCATGACCATCAGCTGGGACTGTTCTTCCAAAACTGACAGGGCCAGCCGGTCATCAGGAGCATCAGCTGGAACCTTTCTTCCCAAACTGCATCAGCTGGGAAGTGGCAGGGCCAGCCGCGCATCAGGAGCATCAGCTGGGACCTTTCTTCCCAAATTGCCAGGGTTAGCCGAGCATCAGGAGCATCGCCTCCGTAAACGGGCGGGCAGTGCCAGCGAGCATCATGAGCATCAGCTGGGACTGTTCTTCCCAAACTCACAGGGCCAGCCGCGCATCAGGAGCATCAACTGGGATCTTTCTTCCCAAACTGCCAGGGTTAGCCGAGCATCAGGAGCATCATTTGGGAACCAGCGAGCATCATGAGCATCAGCTGGGACTGTTCTTCCCAAACTAACAGGGCCAGCCGCGCATCAGGAGCATCAGCTGGGATCTTTCTTCCCAAACTCCCAGGGATAGTTGAGGATCAGGAGCATCATCTGGGAAGTGGCCTCCGTGAACGCGCAGGGCCAGCGAGCATCATGAGCAACAGCTGGGACTGTTCTTCCCAAACTGACAGGGCCAGCCGCGCCGGGAGCATCAGCTGGGCCCTTTCTTTCCAAAGTGAGCATCATCTGGGAAGTGGCCTCCGTGAACGGGCAGGGCCAGCGAGCATCATGAGCATCAGCTGGGGACTGTTCTTCCCAAACTGACAGGGCCAGCCGCGCATCAGGAGCGTCAGCTGGGATCTTTCTTCCCAAACTGCCAGGGTTAGCCGAGCATCAGGAGCATTATCTGGGAAGTGGCCTCCGTGAACGGGCAGGGCCAGCGAGCATCATGAGCATCAGCTGGGGACTGTTCTTCCCAAACTCACAGGGCCAGCCGCGCATCAGGAGTATCAGCTGGGACCTTTCTTCCCAAACTGCCAGGGTCAGCCGAGCATCAGGAGCATCATCTGGGAAGTGGCCTCCGTGAACGGGCAGGGCCAGCGAGCATCGTGAGCATCAGCTGGGACTGTTCTTCCCAAACTGCCAGGGATAGCCGAGCATCAGGAGCATCATCTGGGAAGTGGCCTGAGCATCGTGAGCATCATCTGGGAAGTGGCCTCCGTGAACGGGCAGGGTCAGCCAGCATCATGAGCATCAGCTGGGACTGTTCTTCCCAAACTGACAGGGCCAGCCGCGCATCAGGAACATCAGCTGGGACCTTTCTTCCCAAACTGCCAGGGTTTGCCGAGCATCAGGAGCATCATCTGGGTAGTGGCCTCCGTGAACGGGCAGGGCCAGCGAGCATCATGAGCATCAGCTGGCACTGTTCTTCCCAAACTGACAGGGCCAGTCGCGCATCAGGAGCATCAGCTGGGATGTTTCTTCCCAAACTGCCAGGGTTAGCCGGGCATCAGGAGCATCATCTGGGAAGTGGCCTCCGTGAACGGGCAGGGCCAGCGAGCATCATGAGCATCAGCTGGGACTGTTCTTCCCAAACTCACAGGGCCAGCCGCGCATCAGGAGCATCAGCTGGGACCTTTCTTCCCAAACTGCAGGGTTAGCCGAGCATCAGGAGCATCATTTGGGAAGTGGCCTCCGTGAACGGGCAGGGCCAGCGAGCATCATGAGCATCAGCTGGGGACTGTTCTTCCCAAACTGACAGGGCCAGCCGTGCATCAGGAGCATCAGCTGGGACCTTTCTTCCCAAAGCCAGGGTTAGCCGAGCATCAGGAGGATCATCTGGGAAGTGGCCTCCGTGAACGGGGCTGGGACCTTTCTTCCCAAACTGCATCAGGAGCATCATCTGGGAAGTGGCCTCCGTGAACGGGCAGGGCCTGCGAGCATCATGAGCATCAGCTGGGACTGTTCTTCCCAATTCCCAAACTGCCAGGGTCAGCCGAGCATCAGGAGCATCATCTGGGAAGTGGCCTCCGTGAACGGGCAGGGCCAGCGAGCATCGTGAGCATCAGCTGGGGACTGTTCTTCCCAAACTCACAGGGCCAGCCGCGCATCAGGAGTATCAGCTGGGACCTTTCTTCCGAAACTGCCAGGGTTAGCCGAGCATCAGGAGCATCATCTGGGAAGTGGCCTCCGTGAACGGGCAGGGGAAGCGAGCATCATGAGCATCAGCAGGGACTGTTCTTCCCAAAGTGACAGGACCAGCC